GTGTATGGGTGTTTTGTCTGCCTGTATGTCTGTACACCACCTGTGTGTCTGGTGCCTCTGGAACTGGAGTTATAGACACTTGTGTGTAGCAGGCTTTCTTTTGGGCCACCAGCCAGCTCTCAAATCATGACATGGAGACTTCTTATTAGTTATGAATGCTCGGCCTTATCTTATGCTTGTCCCACTAGTTCTTACAACTTAAATTAACCTGTTTCTCTTCATCTACGTTTATGCCTTGGGGCTTTTTACCTTTCTTTTCATTTTTATGTTCTACTTTGTGTTGGGCTGGCTGGCGGCTGCCTGGCTAGCCAGCCCCAGGTGTCTCCCTCTCTTTCTCTCTCATTCTCTTCTTTCTCTTGAGCCTACATTCCTCCTCCTACTAGTCTCTCTGCCTGCCAGCCCTGCCTATTCCTCTACTGCTTAGCTATTGGCCATTCAGCTTTTTATTAGACCAATCAGGCAGGCAAGGTAAAACAGCAACACATCTTTACATAATTAAACAAATGCAGCATAAACAAATGTAACACATCTTTACATAGTTAAGGTAATATTCCACAACAGTTGTGAGCTACTACATGTCTGCTGGGCATTCAATTAGGGTCCTCTAGAAGAGCAGCTGAGTGCTCTTAACCACTGAGCTATTTTTCTCTCTAGCCACTGTTCTCCCTGCCCCCCCCCAGATAATTTCTTTGAAGATTGTTTGTTTGTTTTTTCCTTTTTTCTTTTTAATGAGACAAGGTTTCTCTGTGTGGCTTTGGAGCCTGTCCTGGATCTCATTCTGTAGACCAGGCTGGCCTTGAACTCATAGAGATCCGCCTGGCTCTGCCTCCCGAGTGCTGGGATTAAAGGTGTGCGCCACCACCACCCAGCTTCTTTGAAGTGATTGTACAACTGGGATATTTTTGTTAATTTCTTTTCAGAAAATTCATCATTGATATATATATATTATATATATGTATATATAATATATATATATACATGCACACACACACACACATATATATAAGCTACAATTTTTGCATCTTGTTTTTGTATCCCATAAATTTAATGAAAGTATTTAGCAGGTCCAAAAGTTTTCTGGTGGAATCATGAGTATTTAAGTATAGAATGAGGTCATCTTCAAATAGAGGAACTTGACTTCTTCCTATTTGTATCTCTTTTATATCTTCCTCTTATCTTATTCCTCTAGCTAAGACTTCAAACACTATGTTGAATGAAAGTGGAAAGAATACACACCTTTATATAATTCCAGATATTAGAGAAAATGCTGTCAGTGTTTTCCCACTTAGTATAATGTTGGTTATATAATTTGTCTCATACATCTCTCCATAAATAAACAAATATACATATATCATACATATATACATCACTATGTTGAGGTATGTTCAATCTGTTACTAATTTCTTTAGGACTTTTATCATGAAAGTATGTTTTTTGTTGACACAAACTAAGTTCATCTGGGAAGAGGGATGAAACATCAATCAAGAAAGGAACAATTACTTCTCTGTAATGGAACACAGGTAAAACCATGAGACACATGGAGATATATAGATTAATAGAAATGGGTTAATTTAAGATAAAAGAGCTAGTTAGCAGTAAGCCTGAGCCATAGACCAAATGGTTTGTAATTAATATTAAGCCTCTGACTGGTTATTCATGTACTGGTAGGTGGGAGAGATTTATCCATCTACACGTCTCATCATAACCCTCTGTACTATTATATTTCTTTATTATATATGTATTATATAATAGTATATATAAATATACTTCAAAAAATTAAAGCAAAAACCTCTTTAAGTGTAAAAAGTGACCTTTAACTTGAGACTATGACTTGGTGTTTTCTCTTTTTGTTGTTGTTGAAATAAATATATTATTACTACAAGTCCTCTTTAACTATTTAAAACAGAATTTAGAGTAATGCCTAAAGCATATTCGTGTATAATAGATAACAATTGAGTGATTATAGAAATTTGTCATCATCATAGAGCTAGGACTGGTGATTTACTACACCCTTATGACACTCTTAATGACATAGATCAAACTCTTCAACTCATTCTCACAGTTTTATATGCTTAGCATATTGAATTTGAGGTAAACACAGCCTACAATTACAGACCAATATTTCCACTATTACTGACTGATGAATATTAGTTACATTATATAACCCACACAACAAAGAAAATGTGTTCTCACAAGAAATGCAACACCATAGTTTGTATTTTCTGAATCTCATTTACTCCATACAAATTCTTCCCAAAATAGAGAAGCCATTATTGGTATTAACACTCAAATGGAAGTTCATCATTTAATACAATGTATATATTTCTGTAAATTAAGGTACAGTTTGTAACTATATTTTGCAATTTTCTTCCCAAAAGTATTACTAAAAAAGATGATGGAAAATAATTAAAAACAACTATGAACTAGAACTATTATAGTTCTGTTTTTGTTGTTGTTGTTCTTATAAATTGAGTCTGGGCCTTATCTTTTTACCATTTTGTAGAACTAGTTTTGGTACTGGGTAGGCAAGGAATTAAGATACGAGGAAATGGGGGAAAACTGTGGTTGAATCTTTGCATCTCTGTTTCATACTTTCAGAATGCCCTCTGTGGGTAAATATTCTTGAAGCTGCCATTATGTTAAAGCATTACCAGAAATTAAAGCACCAGGGCATGTTCCCACTTATGTACACTAAGGAAGGGTCTGCATCCTCAAATGTGCTGATCAACCCACTTGCACTGTAATTTTGAATCCCCCCCCCATTCCATGGGCTTTCTTAGAGAATCATTGGAAGAAATATCCTTAAACGGAGATCCCATCCACCATGGAAGGTCATAAAAATTGTTCCTTTTTAAATATCATTCACTTAATAACTATTCCTAAGAATCTTAAAACCCAGCCGGGTGGTGGTGGCTTTAATCCCAGCACTCGGGAAGAGACAGGTGGACTTCTGTGAGTTTGAGGCCAAGACTCTACAGAGTGAGTTCCAGGAAAGGCACCAAAACTACATGGAGAAACCCTGTCTCGAAAAACCAAAATAAATAAATAAATAATAAATAAATAAATAAATAAATAAATAAATAAATAAATAAATAAAAGAATCTTAAAACTCCTCAAGGCAGAATTCAAGAGACTGCTCCCTACTTTTGGGCAGCGCACTCCAATCACTGGACTATTTGCTTATCTTTTTCAAATAAACTGTTCAAGTTATCTGTTACTTGACCGATTTTTTTTCTTTCCTTCAAAAAGACAAAAACTCAGGGACCCCATAATGTAGTGGTTCTTAATCTTAATACTGCAACCCTTTAGTACAGTTCCTTGTAGGTGGAGTTTTTGTCAGGGCTACCAGCCAGCTTACAAATAATCACACTGAGACTGATTAATTATAAATGCTTTGCCATTAGCTTAGGCTTGTTATTAACTAGCTCTTACAATTTAAATTAACCCATATTTCTTACCTACATTCTACTATGTGGCTCAGTACCTTTTCTCAGTATGGCACGCTCATCTTGATTCTCTGTGGCAACTCTGGTGACCCCCGCCCTCCTTCACAGTGCCCTCTCCATTTGGCCCTCCCACCTAAGTTCTTCCTGCCTACCTACTGACGAGTTGGTTCTTTATTAAACCAATGAGTGATACATATTCACAGTGTACAAAAGGATTGTTCTACAGCAGTTCCTCATGAACTGCCCCAAAGATAGAATTATTTTCATTGCTATTTCATAACTAATTTTGCGTATCTGGCATGCAACCCTTATGAAAGGGTCATTTGACTTCCTAAAGAGGTTGAGAACCACTGCAACAGTTTTGCTAATTAGTTTACAAGACTACAAGAGCCTATCTTATAAAAACAAACTTAAAATAAGTTGATTTTGGATTCTTCCGGATTTCAAACAACCTAGGAGCAATATTTAGATTGATTTCCTCTACTACGTTTCTTTTGGTTTGGCCAGTGCCTTGCTCATAAAAATATTTTTTTAAAGGCATGAATGTAACTTGTTTATGTAGCTGTTTTACAGTTGATTTGGAGTCTGGAAAGTTGGTTCAGCAGTGTAGTACTTACTATTTTTTCAGAGGACCTGCATTTGGTTTGGGGCAGCTCAAGCTGGCAACCACCTATAACTCCAACTCTAGAAGGAGGCCCTCTTCTGGCCTCTGCCAGTTCTTAAAAATACACATACACATGAAAACAAAACAAAAAAAAATCAAAACAAAACCTTTACAGTAACTTCAAAAAGGTTTAGTTAGATTTAGAAACAACTGCCCATTACAAATTGTCTCACCTTAACTATGTAATTGTTATTAAGAGCTAGCAGGAGCAACTCTCTTGCAAGACAGTGAAATGGCAAAAGAGTATCAAAAGGTACACGTTCTTTTCTATATTACTTGTATTAAGACAAGTATTTAAAATCATTTAGTTTTGGAGTCAAATATATGTTTGGCAGTATAAGTTCATTAGCTTTGAATCCTGGCTGTGCTGCTTGTTGTGAGAGCTGGGTCAGGGATTGGCTTAGTCAAATCTTCCTTACCTCTAGGGTGGCTGTTTATACACATCACAGAAGGCTAACTTAACGCGGTTTCTGGCACACAGCAGGTGCTGAGTATGGCCCTCACCACTAACTGTAAGGCAAGTTAGCAATTCAGTGATAGTCGGAGCAGGAAGATGAGCCAGGCATTGTAATAGATTACCAAAGCCCCAAAGCTAGAAACTGCTCACATTATTTTGGATTACTCTTCGCTTCATGAGACACGACTTTCAAAACCCAACGAAGAAGCCGAATTTTAACTCAAAAGATCCTCTAACGTTTCAGGGTGGAAGCGAACATTTTTCAGAACGTGGTACCAAAGCCTAAAAACAAAGCACGATCTCACAAAAATCGATGCCATTCCAAAAACTATACTAGCTCAGTTTCCCACTAAACTTGGAAACCGGAAGCGAGGGTCCGTATTCCGCGGTCCCCGGCGTGCTGTAGCGCGACAGGGGCGGGGCGAGGCCGTAAAGCAACGCCGAGCCCGCCCTGCCTCCCAGGGCGCCCTTGGAGAGACAGTGGGTCATGGCTGGCGTGGCGCGGGGCAGCGGGGCCAGCCTGGACCTGCTCCGGTCCCTGCCGCGAGTGAGCCTGGCCAACCTGAAGCCCAACCCTGACTCCAGGAAACGGGTAAACGGATGGCAGCGGTGCGGGAGTGCTGGGGCCGCGTCCCGGGGGTGGAGGACGCGTGTGGGCTCCGCGGGCCCTGGCCCCCTCCCGCGTGCGCCCCGTAGGAAGGCTTCTGCTTAAAACCACAGAGGTGCCAAGTATGCAGAGGGGACGCCCTGGGGAACTGCAGAATGATTCATCCAAATTACCTCTCAACGGAAGGCCTTTAGCAGAGTGCCTGTCATCATTATAAAGATTCTAACTGACTTTTTACTTCAGCTGTCTTACGTGAGCCCACGGCACAACTAGAAAAGCTGTTTTCTGTCACCTCTTATTGTAACTCAGTTTATTGTTTTTAGGAGGTGATAAAGTAAAGTAAAGGGAAGATATTGTTACGGAGTTAGAAAACACCGAAAGACCACCCGACTCTACCGTGTTGTAATAAGCCAGTTTTTAATTTAAGCTGCAGCTGTCCTTGGTTCCCGTGGTCGGATTTGGGACTGAGGCACAGCTTAAAAGGAGGAGGGCTTTTAAAGGCAGGTCACGATTACTTCATTTCTGTGGAACTCACAGCTACCTGAGAACTGCCTCACTCTGCCACGTAGGGAGTTTACAGAAACCAAAGCAAGCGGTTAATCAGTTTTACAACAGCTTTACCATTCTGGGGAGGGGGACAAGGACTCAGGGTTACCAGGAGCTTGTCTTTTAGGAGTTAGGAATGGGTTCGTAGCACAAAATGGATTTTTCCTTAGCTTTGCATGCAGTACCTTAACTGGTACTGGTTGGATGAATAAAAGGCATAGTAAAGGAATGTGCTATGAGGTGAACACAATCCTGAAACTCACTTTTCCTTGTAGGAAAGACGTCCAAGAGATCGGAGAAGAGGCAGGAAATGTGGCAGAGGCCATAAAGGAGAAAGACAGAGAGGAACTCGGCCCCGGCTGGGCTTTGAGGGAGGGCAGACTCCATTTTACATCCGAATCCCCAAATACGGATTTAATGAAGGACATAGGTAAGGGTGTTTTTTCTTTTGAAGTACAAATCCCTAATTTCCAACAAGAATTGCATAAATAAATAATTTGGTAGAAACCTTATATTTACTTAGAAGCAAACATGTGATACTGTTCCTCTGAATAATTTCCAGTAAGGAAACTTAACCTAGATTTTATGTGTGTGTGTGTGTGTGTGTGTGTGTGTGTGTGTGTGTGTATAAAATATGTTTATGGTATATTGTAGCTACCATTCTATAATCTGTTACTTTGGGTTAAACTTTTGTGAGTTTATTTGTTTGCGTGAATGAAGTAAATGTTTAGAGAGGTAAATTGTTTTTAGTGGAACAAAGGAAGCACTAACTAGTGTTTTATGTGTTTGTATTGTACTCATAAGTTTATTTTAAACCATCAGAAATGATGAAGGAAAACACAAAACAAAGCTTGTTGATTTGAAGAGGTTACAGGAAGATTACTTGGTGTTTTCTAAGTATTATGTTCCTGTTTTACAGTTTCAGACATCAGTATCAGCCTTTGAGTCTCAGGAGACTGCAGTATCTCATTGATTTAGGTCGAGTTGATCCAACTCAACCTATTGACTTAACCCAGCTTGTCAATGGGAGAGGTGTGACCATCCAACCACTTAAAAGGGATTATGGGGTCCAGCTGGTTGAAGAGGTAACTCTGGATTTGTTTTTTTTGCTTGTTTGTTTTGTTTGGTGTATAGACACTTTGCCATAATAGTCTTTCCTTATCTGTGAGGGACACATACCATGTGGATGCTTCACTGTGGTCATTACCAAACTGTATAAACTGTTTTCTTCTTTTTATATAGACATCTGATAAAGGTTAATTCATAAGTTAGGTATAGTGGGAGGTTAATAATAATTTGCTACAGTTGTTAGTAACCTTAACTTATGACTCTTTATTAAATGGAGAACTTCCATCTCTCTGCTTCAGTACACTATAGTTCCTCTTTGTCGTATCAGAATTGTCACCTTCACTTTTCTTGTACGTTGGGGCCATAATTTAGTGAGATAAGAGAGAAATATACAGTATTGAAATGCTATGGCAGGGTGATGGGTGGGTAGCAGATAGAGTGTAAAAATAATATAGAAAGGTGTAATTCTGTCAGGAAGGGATGGGGTTGAGCAGCACAAGACCTCCTCATGCTCCACAGAACAGTTTACACTCTAAAGTGTCCTAGAGATGCACTGTCCAGCTTGCACAGGGTCTTGGTTTGATTCCCAGCTCTGCAGAGCCAATAACTGAAACCATGGAATGTGAAACTGAGACTGCTCAATCAACCCCTTCTTGGGGGCTGGAGAGATAGATCAGTAGTAAAGAACATTGGCCAATCATCCACAGGACCTGGGTTCAAGTCCCATCATCCATATGGTCGCTCACAACCATCTGTAACTTCAGTCCCAGGAGATCCACCACCATTGATGGCCTTGATGGGGAACTGCATGCACATGATACACAGACAGTCATGCAGACAAAACACACATACACATATAATAAATACAAACATAAAAAATGTAGTTCATGCTAGCTGTGGTTACAGAAAGCTGATGTACATTCAGGCCACAGCTTGTCTTCTGCTTCTGTGGATCTGTACATCTCTCTCCCTCATTGAAAAAAAAATTCCTTAAAATTTTTTTTAGATTGTTTTGTTTTTGCTTTTCAAGGCAGGGTTTCTCTGTGTAGCTCTGGCTATCCTGGAACTCACTCTGTAGACCAGGCTGGCCTCAAACTCACAGAGATCATCAGGCTTTGCCTCCCAAGTGTTGGGATTTTTAAAGGTGTGCGCTACCACTGCCTGGCTAGATTTCTTTATTTTATATGTATGTGTGTTTTGCCTGTATGCATGTGTACCATAAGTATCCCTGGTGTCCCCAGAGTTCAGAAGAGGATGTTAGGTCCCCTGGAACTGGACTTATAGATAGTTGTGAGCCACCATGTGGCTCCCCCAACCCTGGAAGAGCAGCAAGTGCTCTTGACCTCCAAGCCCTCTTTCCAGCCCCCGGAAACATCTTTCTAGAATTATTTTTGTTGTTTGAAGCAGGATAGCTCTGGCAGGCTGTCCTCGAACTCACTGTGTAGACCAGGTTGGCCCCTGCCTTTGTCTCTTCAGTGCTGAGATGACAAGCATGTGCCACTACATCTGTTCACCTACCCCACACTTTTTAGAAAATAGTTTGCATTGCAAGGTGACAAGAGCCTGCCAGTAACTCAAGTGCAGCTTGCGGCCCTGTTCCCACTCTTAGAAGCACACTCTGTGTCTGCCTCTTCCTGCCCAAAGCGTTTTTTCTTTTTATTGTTTTTATATGTGTGTGTGTTTTGACTTCATGTATGTACCATATGTGTTCCTGGTGCCAGCTGAAGCTTTGGATCCCCTAGGACTGGAGTTACAGACACTATGAGCCACCATATGGGTTCTTGTAATAAAATCCTGGCTTTCTGGAACAGCAGCTAGCTCCCTTAACTGCTTAGCCATCTCTCTAGCCTCCCAACTAATTTTTCTTACTATCTGGTGCACAACTGTGCTTCCATTTCATCTTTCTCACTATCACCTGAGCCTTGTAAAGGTAGGTGCTTTATTATAGTTTCAATATTGACAATCTTAGCTCCAAAAGTTACTTAATATTTATGGAAAAAAGGAATGAATTTAATCCCATTTCAACTTCAGTGGAAATTTCTGTTATACTGATTGACCAACAATTCATAAATAGATCAACTACATAGCCAAATAGTAACTTAGTGTCCACTAGAGGGAAGCATATGCCCATGGAAGAACCTTTTCAAGTCCTTTGAGACTGTGAACCTAAAGATAAGCACTTTCCGGGTCTCATTCATTGTCTGATGTGGTAGATCACGCTTGTGATCCCAGCACTTGAAAGGCTGAGGCTAGAAGATTGCTGTAAGTTTGAGACTACTTTGAGCTACAAAGTGAATTCTAGGTGAGCCTTGGCTGCATTATAAAACCCTGTCTTAAAGAAAAACAAAACAAAACAAACCCTAATAAAACCTGTTAAGTTCATTTGGAAAAGCAATACTGAAGACATGATTGAGCCTCAATATTCTACTATGGATGTGTAAAGAAAAAGACATGTACTTCATAGAAAATTCCATAACCTTGGCAGTATTTAAATTGCATGTCTCAGTATGCTTTAGGTATGTGTATATTATGCTAGCAGACGTTATGCTGAAAATTCTACACTGAGCCAATGATGAATAAATATAGTCACACGGTTATTATAGCTTGTACATCGTTTGCCTTTTCTGAGTTGAGATTTGCAAGTAAATAGTGGATAATAAGATGGCTGTGATTTTAAGCACAGAATTATTTGGGAATATATGTTCTCAAGGAAAATAAAAGAAACCTGATTTGTAGACCTTCCTAAAAATGCAGTTTATAATACTTACAACCCTGGCACTAGCACCAGAGGAGAAGAGTGAGGTGGTGGAGCAGCAGAACCAGAGAAGTAGCAGAGGAAGCTTTTTTCTTTTGTTTTTTGAGACAGGGTTTCTCTGTGTAACAGCTCTGGCTGTCCTAGAACTAACTGTGTAGACCAGGCTGGCCTCAGACTCCTGGAGATCCACCTGACTCTGCCTCCTGAGTGCTGGGATTAAAGGCATGTGCCACCACTGCCTGGCCTCAGAGTAGTAATTGAAAGAAAAAAAAAATCACAAATTAATATGTGAAGTCCCTAGTTTTGAATCGACAGTCTGTTGATTGTAAAAGTGCACACCATTATCAAATATAAAAAGAAACTACATCCTATAGTTGATGGAATATTGAAATATATGAAATGTTCATAACGTGAGTGGGAATTAGTTTAGCCATACTAAAATGGCAAACGCAGTATGTTTTGAAGTTAGACAAATATTAGCATATCCTGAGTGACGGGACTTTAAGAAGCTCATTGCTTCATCTTCTAGTGTTAAACATTCTGGGGGAAAATAGATGCATCCTCCATTTTAGAGAGTATAATAAAGTTGGCAATGAGTACAAAATGGATTCCCCTCCCCCTTTTTTCCCTAAAGACAGCCAACCCCTTCAGTATTGTCAGATACTTTGTTTTCCAGGCTAGTCCAGACCCTTGCCTCCTCTATAACCTCCTGTTGCTTACTTAGGGATAAGGAAGACTTGTTTTTATTTTATTATTAAAATTTTAAAAATGTTTAATATGTATGTGTGTTTTATCTGTGTGTATGTCTATGTACCCCATATGTGTCTAGTGCCTGGGGAGGCCAGAAGAGGGCATCAGCATTGGATCCCCTGGAACTGAAGTTACAGATGGTTCTCAGGCACCATGTGGGTGCTGGTAATCAAACTGTGATCCTCTGGAAGAGCAGCCAGCACTCTTTGATTTGTTTTTAGTCTGTATAATGGAGCATAATGTTGTGGTTAAGAATAGAGATAGGCTGGTAAAATGGCTTTGTGGGTAAAGGCCACTCAGAGCTGGAGACATGTGTTTAATCCCTGGAATCCACATAAAGGTAGAAAGAACCACAAAATTGTCCTCTGACCTCAACATGCATGTCGTATGCTGTGATTACACACACACACACACACACACACACACACACACACACACACACACACACACACACACACACACACACACACACACACACACACACACACTGGAATTTTCCCAGGGGCCTGCCCTGAGAAGATTTCCTCCCAGAATCCTGGGGAAGACGCTTTGTCTGGTGTGGGGTTATCTTAGGGAAAAGAATCTATGTATACCATGCTCTTTTGTCCGTTTATTTTGTCTCTCTAAGACAAAATTCTATCTAAACAGCTTCAGGTTCTGTCCTGACATTCAGTTCCTCTCTATTACTTTTCCTGTCTTCTCATAGTCCTAACTAAGCTCCCATGCTTTTGACCTCATCTTCGTCCTCTGTTCCTTCACCTTCCATCTTTTCTTCCTTACTTCTTACCCCTGACTCTGAGAAACTCTGCCTTTTTCTCTTCTCTCTGGCCATGCGGCTCTATTTACCATCTACCCAAATTGGCTTGTTCCTTCTTGGCTACATGACTCTGCTCCTCTGGAATTCCACTTCAGTCTTTACTGCACCTGGTTATGCAAAAAGCCCTATTGTCCTGAGTCAGTAGCTCTGTGTTGCTACTAGGCCTGAAGGCAAGGGATGGTCTGAGCTTCATTTGCACAAGAAACAAAGCTATGCATCTGCAGCCTCCCTGTCTCCTAGGTCCTGCAGGGGTATTAGTTACCTAGTGGATCAGCAGTAGGTCTGAGAAGCTTAGCTGTTTGCCAATACGGCCTAGTAGTATATGGGCCCATAAGAATTTCATAGCAGAAAATAGCTGATATATATTAGTAAGATAAATAACACCAAATATTCCTTGTTAAATGGCTTCCTCTTGAAGGACACCTTGGTCAGTCAAGGTATAGCTTATTACATACAGCTGAATCTCTATTATATATTCTTGAGAAATTACTTTGAAATATATACTTTGAAAGAATGCAGATAGTGCTGGATATGTAGCTGATTGACAGAAGGGAAGACCTTGAGGTTCCATCCTCAGTATTAGAAAAAGGAAAATTCCAATTCAAAGCCTCTGACTAGAGTCTGGATTAGTATCCTAATTTTGTGTCTTGGATGAATTACTCAGTAGCCCATATGCCTTATTGTCCCCATCTGCATTTGGTATAGTAATAATCCTGGCTAGGATAAAATAGTGTACTACTAATGGAATATGGGGAAATGGATGCTTCTCTCAGTACCTACTAAATGCAGAAAATGGAAATAAGACAATCATTCCTACTTGCAGGACTTGGGAATTGGTGATGCATAATGGACCCCTAAGCGGAGGTAGTTCAGGATAGAATTGCAGGTACTTTGGAGGGGGAAGCACAGCTGAAAACAGACCTTGTGCTGATTTGCCTTCAGCTAAGCTATTTACTAACAGGCCTTGTTTTAACTTACGACAGGGTGCTGATACTTTTCAAGCAAAAGTTAATATTGAGGTACAGTTGGCTTCAGAATTAGCAATTGCTGCAATTGAAAAAAATGGCGGTGTTGTTACTACAGCCTTCTATGACCCAAGAAGTCTGGGTAAGTCTGTTTTGTGGTCAGTTTCTTCTTTATCTTACACTGCCTGTTTGCTTGACAGTTCTCTTTTGAGTGCTTCTGTCATGCTCACAGCTGCTCCTTTAGGTCTCCTTGAGCGCTGCACTCATGTACATGTAACACCACTGACTTAAATGGTACTCATAATTAAAACCAAAAGAAGTCTTAAAATAGATTTTTCAGAGGGGTGTTAGCTCATCTGAAGTGTTTAAAACCTTTCCTCCCTCCTTCTCCCCTCTCCTTTCTGTCTTCCTTTCCTTTTCAAATTATAAACTATTAAAAATGACTTTTTTCAGCCTAGCTTAGATAGCTCAGTAGGCAAGACCCCCTCCCTGCTCTGCAAGTCTTATCTGGGTTTGATCAGGTGGAAGGAGAGAGCCAATTCCTGAAAGTTGTCATCAGATCTCCATGTGCAGCATAGCACATAGGATAATAATAAAAAAATGAAAAAAATTATAAGGAGTTGTCTCCATTTTCTTACTTAAGCCTGTTTAACAAGAAGTTCTTGGAATTCAGTTCTCATCTCAGTAAATTAATAACTTAAGAATGTCCAACATAGTTATTATGTATAGAACCAGTCTTTACTTACATCTCTCTTTTTAAAATTGTTTCTAGAGATTCTGTGCAAGCCTGTTCCGTTCTTTCTGCGGGGACAGCCCATCCCAAAGCGAATGCTCCCACCGGAAGCACTGGTGCCGTATTACACTGATGCCAGAAACCGGGGCTACCTGGCTGACCCTGCCAAGTTTCCTGAAGCAAGACTTGAACTTGCCATGAAGTATGGCTACGTGCTTCCTGATATCACGAAAGATGAACTCTTCAAAATGCTTAGTGCTCGGAAGGATCCAAGGCAGATCTTCTTTGGTCTTGCTCCTGGTTGGGTGGTGAATATGGCAGATAAGAAAATTCTAAAACCTACAGATGAGAATCTCCTTAAGTATTACAGCTCCTGAACTCTCTTCCAGTAAGCAGATGTGTTGAGAACCAGACAGGAGCTGAAGCAAGGCTTCTTGTGGGTCTCCAATCTTCGGGGTTGATAGCAGCCATCAGTGTGGTCAGTTCTGATTTAAATCACAGGCAGCAAAAACTGCATAGAGAAACTGGACCTTTTTGGGTATATGTCTCAAAAATTCAAATGGGGACGGTCTTTAGAAAGGTGGGTTTTAAAAAATTATTTAAAATCATCTTCCCTCTGTTTTTGTTTGTTTTGAGGCAGGGTTTCTCTGTATAGCGCTGGCTGTCCTGGAATTGTAGTGTAGACTAGGCTGGCCTCAAACTCACAGAGATCTGCCTGCCTCTGCCTCCCAAGTGCTAGAATTAAAGGTGTGCGCCACCACTGCCAAGCCTAATTTTAACTACTTTAAAACATCTTTTTACTGTCCATCTTTTTATGGTCTTTTCTTACCTGTTCAGTTAGAATGAAGGGCAAGTGTAGAGGATTGATTAGTAGGCTGGGAGCAGGTGCTAAGGAGCTTTGGTTCTTTTTTACACAGTAGCCCCAGGGAAGCTCTGCTACCCACTGTTAAGATAGTCCCCAACAGGGATGGAGATGTTCAGAATGTGACTGACAGCTGGTGAGTAGTGGAGCTAGAGAAAGAAAGAGCACAAATGAATTAATTTTCACAGCACTGGTAAGTATAGATAATGATCAAACCATTACCATTTTTCTTGAAGATAGTGTTCCAATTGATAAAAATTTATCTCAGACTTCAAGACATTTCAGTTAAATTTAGAAAACTTGTTCAATGATTATATAAGCCATATGGAAATAGGGATTTTGTTTTAGGTGGTGGTTTTTAAAAGACAGGCCTTGATCAAGATCCTGAGCCCTAGCAATTCTCTTGCTTCAGCTTTCCTAGCAGGTGGGACTACTGTGCCCAGCTTAAACTCAGTTACTGCAAAAGATTCAGAAGTGAACAAGCTTTTCAAAGAGAAATTGTGTTCAAATCTTGTAAAAGCTTAATTTACTTTAAGTGATTATAGTTTTTGTTTGTATGAAACAGGGTCTCATGTATCCCATGCTATCCTTGAATTACTGATTCTTTCTTCCCATGTGTTGGGATTACAGCATGAACCACCATGCCTTGTTGAGCAATTAAACATTGATCCTGAATAATTCATTATAGTTATCCCACAGTTAAAATGATCCTTAAAATAAAACCCCAAAACTCATAAATCATGCAGTGTATTTTTTATTGACTTTTATACCTTATGTTTTGCTGACCTGGGCTCTAGTTTATAAAGTGGTACACATGCCTCGAGTGTGTTTCAGTTTTCATTCAGGATTGTGTAGGTTTTTGGTTTTTTTTTTTTTTGGTACAAACTCTAGTAAGAACCAGGAGCTAAGGAGAATCATCCTTAGACCAACTTCGGTGATTGAATTTGGAACTTTTTTTTTCTTTTTGAGACAGGGTTTCTCTGTGTATCCCTGGTTTCCTCGAACTCTCTTTGTAGACCAAGCTGGCCTTGAACTCAAAGATCTGCCTGTCTCTGCCTCGCCAGTGCTTGGATTAGAGGCATGCGCCACCACCACCTGGCTGTAATCAATTCTTAAAACATGTTTGTATTTTTCAGAGACCTGGTTAGTTTTAGCTCTGCTGGTAGGAACTCCAGATCCCACAGCGTGAGTGAAGCAGCGCTGCGCTCACAGGTGAAGTGCTAGGCTGTGTTGCAGTTGGTGTCAGCTGTGCTGGCAGCTGCTCCTTGGTAAACTGCTTTCTGATAGTGAGGTCTAAATAGAGCCAGGAAGCAGCAAGCCAGCTTTTTCTAAGCAAAGTTAGAAGCTTCCACTTAAAACTTCGGTTTGTAGCTGTTGGCCAGACCTTGAATACAGTCCTGTTCTGAAGGGGCTAGATGATGGTCTTGGGTAAAAAGTCCAGTTAAAAGTGATGAGTAAGCAGAGCGATGGTGACCCACACTTTAATCCCAGCAGAGGCAGGCAGATCTCTGTGAGTTTGAGGCCACGCTGGTCTACAGAGTAAGTTCCAGCACAGTCAGGGCTACATGGAGAAACCCTGTCTTGGGGAAAAAAGTGATGAATGCGAAAGTGAACACATTGAATAGCCAACAAGGAGTTTCACATCTTCCCACTGAACTTCAGCTCGGATGAATTGACTTATATCAGACAAACGAGAAGTGGAGAAGTCTTTAATTATGCATCTGGAATGTTGAATTCAATGCTTTACTTTTTGGGGGGTTGGGGTCCTTACTAAGTCCCTTGCTGGCCTAGAACTCTGTAGACAGAACTGGCCTCAAACTGAGATCTGCCTGCCTCTGCCTCCTGAGACTGGGATTAAAGGCGTGCACCACCTCTGCCTGGCAGTACATATCTGCCTTGGAAACATTTTCATTGTAAAACTATGTTATGCTTCCAATATTATGTATTTTAAAAGATACATTTGAGGAGCTGGAGAGGTTGCTCAGAGGTTAAGAGCACAGGCTGTTCTTCCGGAGGTCCTGAATTCAATTCCCAGCAACCACATGGTGGCTCACAACTATCTGTAATGAGATCTGGTGCCCTCTTCTGGCCTGCAGCCATACGTGCAGGCAGAACACTGTATACATAAATAAATCTTTTTAAAAAGAAAATACATTTGAGTAGTCTAAGGGGAAAGAGCTAACAGGACACAATGAAGACTGCAAAGAATGTCCAGGTAAAAAGAAAATGTGTTTTAACTGTCAGTGGTGAGTCCCTATGGGTTAAGAATTGATACATTTTGGGCTAGAGAGAGATCTCAGCTATTCAGGGCCAAGGCTTACAACCAAAACTTCAAGGATTAAGTACATTTTATTGTTTTTAAGTAATGGCTGGAAAAAAAAATTCTTAAAACTCTGTATCAGAACAAAAGTTCTTACTTGTTTTGAACATGATTATAGTATTGAAGTATTTTAGTTTTGTAGCTCAGCTTAGCTTCAAACTTGTCATGTAGTAGAGGGCAACCTTAAACTCCTGCCTCTACCTCCTTACAGCTGGGGTTACAGAAAGTCTGCCTCTGCACCCAGCTATTGAAGGTTTAATAGGACCAAAGGTTCACATTCTGCTACTTTTACACCCCTGTTTCTCAGAGGTCCCAGAACCAGTTCTCTTTAAGTCAAAGGATAGATTGTTGATAATGTTGGGGCTCTTCTTGCCTCAGTTTATTTCATTTATTTTTGGTAGTGGAGGTTGAATCCAGGCCTTGTGTGCTGAGCTCAATTTAATCCCTGAGCTGTCCTCCAGCATACAACATTGTTTTAGATAGGCTCCTGAGCACTTTACTGCTTGGGGATTATGCTGAGCCTTGCTAGCCTTGGGTTGTTTAAAGTGAGGTGCATCCGCAGACAAGTACTTCCCCTTTGTTAAACTGAAGGGCAGTGTCAGTCTAAAGCAACAAGAGGTGTGTGACAGACACCAGTGCTTCACACGCCTGGTGACACTACCCTCCCTCTGCCTCCAGCACCAGCTGTAGCACCTCAGTGAGGGACACAGGTGCTTCCTTGATCCGAGGAGAATTTTGACCTCAGCCTATCTGCATAGAAATGAATTTCCTTGTAAAGACATCCTGTAACAGTATGTGTATGGGGTGTGGGAGTGAAAGATCCTGTTGGGTGTGCTGTAGCCTAGGTCAGTTTCTGCCTTGCCTCGAGCACAACTTTCCTTTGGTGATGCAGTTTACCATTGTAGGTCTCAGACACTGCCTCCACAGGAAAAGTTCTTCGTGGGAAGTGAGAGAGGATGTTAGTCACCTCAAGGAGACCATACTGCAGCCTTCCATCTGAAAACGTGCTTTGAGGGTCCTTGGACTCTCCTCTCCCATCCCGCTAAGCAGAAGGACTAACTGCCCTCTCCACATTCATAGCACTGACAGCCAACATGGGCTTTCTTCATTTGGTTGTCTTTGGTGGCCTACAGGTGGAAGGAAATTGGGATAGAGTGATAAAGGGAAAAATAAAAACAGGAAACAGATGTCTGGTGATGTAGAATGTTTATTTGGAGAAAGGGACTTTTTCACAAACAGCTGTATCCGGGTTGTGATACTGTAACCCCACAACTCATTCTCAGCCAAAAGGGCATGTTCCATGAAATTCGTCTGGTATACTCTAGGCTTTGTGCCATTTAAAGCGGCACAGAAGAGAGGAACAGTAGAAAGTGGTAGCTATAAGAGTTCCTGTCACTTGAGAATCTACTTTAGAAGCAATAAGATTTCAGTTTAGATCTGTCCTTTCCTGGAATGTGTCTTCATCTGTTCTCATATGACTTTTGGTGGCCAAACCCCAAAAACCTTGAGTTAATTTATGTTTTAAAAGTGGTTTTTAGGGCCAGGCATAGTTGTATATGCCTTTAATCCCAGCACCCAAAAGGTGGATCTGAGTTCAAGGCCAGCCTGGTCTACAAAGTGACTGTCTCCAAAAGCCAAAACAAAAACCACAAAACTATTTCTAAGACTGGGGAGACAGCTTGAGTGGGTACTGTATATGTTCAAGCTCTAGCACTTATGTGGACCATATGAACAGTGTACATGGGCATCAGAGGGCGAGTAGATCCCTGCAGGCTCACTGGTGGCCCGTTTAGCCAAATGGAGAGCTCCAGGTTCAGTAATAAGAGACCTTCATCAGAAGTGGGCTAGAGAGTGGGAAGTGTCAAATGGGAGCAGTACTGCTCATTTCACCTTGGTTAGAGAAGAGGACTCTGACCATAAGGGTTGTCTATTGGGAGACCTTGCTGCAAGCAAACCATGGCACAGTATAGCTGTCCTATTCCGTGCCTGGACCTGCAGAGTCATCTGGGTGGAACACAAGTCTAGGGCTTAAAGCAGGACTAGATGTGAGACTTTGCATGTGGTTTATTCTCTGCCTCATTTTGACCATCTGAGAAATGGAATGTAAAATACAAATCGGTTTGTATAAAATACAAATTATCTTAGGGTTTCTACTGATATAATAAACACCATGACCAAAATGGTGTTGGGAAGAAAGGGTTTATTTGGCTTGTACAGCACTGTCATTGAAGGAAGTCAGTACAGGAACTCAAACAGTTGGAACCTGGAGGCAGGAGCTGATGCAGAGGCCATGGAGGGAGGGGTGCTGCTTACTGGCTTGCTCCTCAATGTTTGCTCAGCCTGTTTTCTTATAGAACCCAGGACCACCAGCCCACCACAGTGGGCCAGACCCTCCCCCATCAATCACTAAGAAAATACCCTACAGGCTTGCCCAGCTGGATCTTATGGAGGCATTTTCTTAATTGAAATTCCTTCATGTCAGATGACTATGACAAGTTGACATAAAACCAGACAGAACAATTATGAGAATTGAAAGCAGTCAGTGTTTGTAAAGCATGGAACACATGACTTGCCTTGTCTGCTGAAGTACTGGTGAATTAGTGTGTTCTAGTCCTTATGTAGCTGCTATCCTATGGCTACTACTTCCCTTCCTCTTAAAAGATTTACATATAGACTGTGTTTAGCCTTTTGTAAGTTGTGCTTAAATCTTACTGATGATAAGAACATGCATGACAGACTTTACTACTTTTAGCAGGAGCTAAAAATACATTTAGAAGAGGCAACATAGCAGAGGCAGAACCTGAGGATAAAGTTGAATTTCTGACTTGATCACTGATTTCCTTTGCAAAACCAGAAGGGCCCAAATTATTTTTGAAGAATATTTGTATATATTTGTGTGCTAAAGAAGCATACATCATGAAGAATATTTGGGTATTTGTGTGTGCTGAAGAGGCATACATCATGAAGAATATCTAGTGTTTGTGTATTTGTGTGTGCTGAAGAGCCATACATCATGAAAAATATGTGTTTGTGTATTTGTGTGCTGAAGAGCCATACATCATGAAGAATATCTAGTGTTTGTGTATTTGTGTGTGCTGAAGAGGCATGCATTTGGTGATAAAAGGACAACCTACATGAGGTGGTTCTCTTCTTCCATCACCTGCATTCCAGAGATTGAGCTTAAGTCATCAGTGTTAATATTCTGACCCGCCCCTTGGCATTGCCCTGCGTCCTGACGTAAAAGCCTCATTTTAAGGAAAAACTCCTTCCTCTCTCTTCCACTTATCCTCCTACGAGGTGCACACCCTTAACCCCCTTCTCTCTTCCTCTCTATCTCTCTTTTTCCAATCTTTCTCTTCATCTCTCTATTGTAATAAACTCTCCACATGGATGCAGTGTCTGGGTTGTGAATTACTGGCCACCACTGCTGCCATGCCTACATGGCATGCATCTGCCCAGTCCGCTGCTGTATCTGCCTAGCATGCCAGCATGTTTCCCTGCATTCGTGGATACCCTCAGTGTCCCCCATGCAAATTCATAATAATCAGGCTTGGTGGCAAATGCCTTTACCCAGTGAGCCATCCTGCAGGACGTACTAATTCCTAAAAGCACCATCCCTGTATGAAAAAGATACCACAAGGGAGAGGAAGGCCTTTAAGATAATCAGATTCTAGACACAAAACTGCAGAAGGGAAGAGAAAGGTGCCAGTTGTTTGCGACCTGGGCATTGTGTTTATAAATAGCTGATTTCATTCCCACCAATTTAGAGTCTTCTATCTTAATGTAAGATTTGTAAGGATAAGAGCAGTTTAAATTTCTCATATTTGGCTGTTCATTCTAAGTTTTGTTTAAAGGATGTGCACATGGGAAATCAGGTCTAGATAACACAGTAAAAACAATGCCAACAAATGTGGTCAGGAGGGCTTGCTGTGTGAGGATGAAGACTTGAATTGGAATACTCAGCAACTGTGTGAGAAAGCAGCCATGGCTGCACATGCCTGTAACTAGCACTATGGAGAGTGAATCCAGGAGCGCCTGGGGCTCCAGGGACACCAGCCTAGTGAGAGAGACCTGTCTGGAGGAGATAAGTTTTGGAAAGGTAATGGGGCAAATACCGGTCACCCTCATTTGGTCTCTGTACACATGGAAGTGGGTGCAATCACCCACATATGTGCATAGACATCACACACATACTCCCTATCCAAAATAGCCTTTTAAAAGAATTTAAATTTTATTATTCAGATTTAATTCAAAAGCTTTCACTTTTTATTTAAAAGAAAATTTTGATTTTCAATAATGGAAATTACTTGTTCGGATTTATTTTTATTTTTTAAGCTATGCACATATTAAGAAAAAAAAAAAAAAGAACGTAAAGTGCTCTCTCTCCCCCCTCTCTCCCCTCTATACTATACTACACTATACTAAGATGTATAGTGTTCTGCCTGCATATACCTGCATATATGGCTGCAGGCCAGAAGAGGGCACCAGATCTCAGATGGTTGTGAGCCACCATGTGGTTGCTGGGAATTGAACTCAAGACCTCTGGAAGAGCAGCCAGTGCTCTTAACCACTGAGCCATCTCTCCAGCCTCTGTTCCAGATCTCTTCCTCTCATTTGATCGGTAGGCTTGTGGCTACCTGCCTGGAGTAGCGATTGAGAATCAAATGTTGCCTTTTGCTTGGACAAACTCTGGCAAGGTTCAACAGGAGTTACCTTTGAAATTCTTTCAAATGAAAACTTCAAAAAGAAGTAACTTTCGAGATGCCTTCCAACTCAGTTTCTCCAGGGAAGAGTGGGAGTCTCAGAAGTTGATACCGTTTCAAATAGACAAGACTGCCCCCTGGTGGTCAAATGTGAGCATTCTTCAGGGACTTTCCAGGTTTGATGAATGGTATTAAATATTCATGAGTTTCTACATTCAACAGTCTTCAAGTGCACACACAGAACACAATGCCAGAGATACTGAAATTGGAAGAGCAGTCACATCAGAGGCACAGACACTAGGAGACCCAAATCATTAAAATACAATATGCAGAATCCGAAGTAATTAGCCCTATGCTCTGGTTTGCCTTTATTTTCAAAGGGATTAGAACTTGGGTCTACTAACAAACCGAAGTTCTGTATTAGTAATAGATGGTGACCACAAAACATTAAAGAAAGGCAACCAGATCCCAGGTTGTCGCAACTGGTTTCACAGTGACTTTCCTTGATTTCCCAGAAACTATTGATCCCATTATCTCTATTTTAGAAGTTGATGTTCTTCTTTCCCAAACGAATATTATAGTAACCACCAGCATGTTAAGGCTACACATCTGACAAGCTCCTGCTTCTTGGCATACTATTCATACAGAGTGAAGTCTCAGAGAGTGTATACTCACATGCCAGTGTGGAACACAGGAGCAGAGTGGTCCATAAGCCAGGTTAGCCAGCACCGTTGAGCCCAGCAGGCTTGCCAGCAGGGTGGTGTGAATAGTGAGTGGCACTTCTCTCTTAGGGCTGGTGCTCAGCATACAAGAAGGGACATTTAAACCAATGTGCTAATGGAAGCCTGGGAATTTTTTTTTAATTTAAAGAAAAGATCTTTCTATAAAGTCTAAACTGGACATGAACTTGACCCTCTGTCTCAACCTCTGGAGGGCTGGGATTACAAACATGCCTCACTAAGCCTGGTTGGCATCCACCAACAGATTACACAGCAGATTATACAGGGCTAATGAGATGTCTCAGTGCACAAAAAATGTTTTCCAGTGAATCCTATTGATTTGAGTTCAATTCCTAGAACCCATGTAAAAGGTGGAAGCAGAGACCAACTCACATGTGCCAAGGCACTTCTCCCACACCATGCAGGCACACAATAATACATTTTTAAAAAGTTAAAAGGACTTATTCAGGGAAGAATGATTCAGAATTGCAGAGGGGATACTAATTTTCTGACTACTCAAGTATCCTTGGGAACTGATACAGCTGGAGGTGACCATTGGTACCAACTGGCCTCTGATTTCATTCCTGGATAGTTCAGTGATCTCCCCAGACCAGTAGCCTGGACATTCTTTATGATTTGATCTATGCCAGTCACTAAAAGGCAAAATAGAATCCGAAAATATTACTCTTTAGGCTGTTTGAAAAGTAAGGCAGGAAGCTAGGCATGGTAGCACATACCTTAATCCCAGCATTTGAGAGGCCGAGGCAAGTGGTTCTCTGTAAATTCAAGGTCGGTCTTGTCTACATAGTACATTCCAGGACAGCCAGAGTTAGGTAAGAAGACACTGTCTCAAAAACCAACAAATAAAAGGCAGGGAATGAAGGAGTGAGTAAGTTCTTAGACTCTGAGTAAAAGAGTAGAGGTTAAACATTCAAGGGAGGCAATTGGGCGTTCATAGCTGTTAATCCAACATTCCTGATACACTGAAATCAATCTCATGTAGAAAGGCAGAAAATAAGTTTGACTTATGGATTCCTTTTTTTTTTTTTTTTTTTTTTTTCTTTCAAGACAGGGTTTCTCTGTGTAGCCTTGGCTGTCCTGGAAATAGCTCTGTAGACCAGGCTATCCTAGAACTCACTTTGTAGCCTTGGCTGTCCTGAAACTCCCAGAGCTCCACCTGCCTCTGCCTCCCAAGTGCTGGTACTAAAGGCTAGCACCACTGCCCAGCTGTGAATTACTTTTTAAATATATGGTCCTGGCGCTCAGTTCACAGCCCACAGCCTCACACATGCTAGGGAAAGCTCTACCACTGAAACATACTGTCAAAGAACCTTAATGTATAAGATTATCTTTACATATCGATAAAATTTTCTGACTCTGTAGCCCAGACTCATTGAATTTTGCCATATTCATATTAAATTAAGCCCTCCCAACACAGTGTGGTCATGGGACAGCAGTGCTGGCCTCCTCTGGGATCTTGTTGACATGTTTTTTGGGCACATGGGAACTGTATCTATGTCCTCTAAAGCCTTGGACATTAGAAAACATTGAAATAAGAGGCACACCTGCCACTGTTAAAAGGAACCTGTGGTAAACATGGCTATCCTGCTAAGCAGAAAGCAGAACCAGAGGGTCCAAGACTGAGAGACACTCAAACTCCTGAATAAGAGTCTTACTTTAACAAGATCTCAAAATGATTTCCATACACGTTAACTAAAGATTGCAAAGCTCTGTTAATAGACACCATACCATGCCTTTAATTAAAGTGTATGGAAACAAAGACAAAACAAAGCAACTGCTAACCATGCTAATATTACTGCAGTGTCACATGTGACCACTAGGCGGCAATATTTCCTAAAATTTCATATACTTAGGCTGTTCAGACTCTGCTGTAATTGTTTTTTATTTTTGTTTGTTTTCAGAGACAGGATTTCTCTATGTAATCCTGACTGTCCTGGAATTCACTATGTAGACCAGGCCAGCCTCGAACTCAGACTGCCTCTGCCTCCCGAGTGCTGGGATCAAAGGTGGTGCGCCACCATACTTGGCCTGTAATTGTTTTTTTTATAATTAACCATTTTAAATTGACAAAACATTTTGCTTTTTAAAGAAAGAGAAAAAAGATTAAAAAATGTGACATATAATAAGAAAATTTTGCCTGATACAATATTATGGATGAAAAGGTTTAAAATTTTCTCCATTAAAATAAAAATAATTAAAACAAACAATACAAAACCAACAGTCAGAACCCCTGAAACAACATGCTGCTCTACAAGTCCAGGTAAATATTTGAAAATAATATTGCACTATTTGTATTATAGATTGGGATGAAGATGCAATAAAAAATAAGTAAGTCAAACTGAAAAACACTTGATCTAAGCTGTGTTTGTGTGTGTGACTGATTTCAGGAAGCAAACTCATTAAAGAGATGAAAAATACATCCAGGATGGCGTCATTTTATAATGACATAAATAAACTGCTGAGCCTTCAGCCTATCACACATCATCATCAAAGACATCCAGTCAAGGTCACTGGTAAAAATGAACTTCCTGCTTCTTTCCTTTAGAATAAACAAAGAATCTATAAATTGAGACCTCAGGCCTACAGCTACAGAGAGAGCCAAGCAAGAGCAGCCACAGGACACACGGTGACAGGCATCTCAAGCTTTGCTCCTATGCCTCAGTACTGTCCTGGCCCAGCCCAGAAGATGCCAAGCCCTCTCCCTCGCCATCTCCAGGTTTAGTGGTAGTTTTCTGAGTTTGTGTCAAGCCAAATGTCCTTATTTCTACCAGCCAGTGGGCCTCCTTCAGTCCTCAGGGAGGAACATGGGGTTCCTTTTGCAAGTTCCCTAGGACTGTGGGTGGATGGAACACTCAGAAGGAGAAATGAGAAATCCAGAGAGGGACAGCTCAGCAGGAAGGGGCACGCCCATGTTAAACCTGGCATCAGAGCTCCAGGGGTTGAGAATG